AACAAAAGTAAGGTTAATTCCTTACATCGGAATTTTTTTCAGAAAAATCTGATTTTGCCCAATTGTGCTTATATGTGCAAGGTTCACCCCTTACAATTTGAGATTTTTCATAAAATTTGCACTTTGCCCAATTTTGCTTAAAAATACAAGGGTAACCCCTTTCAATCTGCAATTGTCCAGAAACGTCTGATTTTGCCCTAATTTGGCAAAGGTTAACCCCTTACAATTTTTGATTTTTCATACAAATCTGATTTTTCCCAATTTTGCTAAAAATGCAAGGTGAACCCTTTACAACCTGAAAATTTTCATACACCTGGTTTTGCCGTATTTCGCTAAAAAATGCAAGGTTAACCCCTAACAATTTGAAATTTTTCATGCACATTAATATTTGCCCAATTTTACTAAAAAAACAAGGTTAACCCCCTTACATCTGAAAATTTCAGATGTAAGGGGGTTAACCTTGCTTTTTTAGGGCACTAATTTGGCAAAGGTTAACCCCTTACAATTTTTGAGATTTCATACAAATCTGATTTTCCCAATTTTGCTAAAAAAGCAAGGTTAGCCCCCTTACATCTGAAATTTTTCAGAAACATCTGATTTTGCCCAATTTTGCTAAAAATGCAAGGTTCACCCCTTACAATTGGAGATTTTTCATAAAAATCCGATATTGCCCAGTTTTGCTAAAAATGCAAGGTTAACCCCTTTCAATCTGCAATTTTCCAGAAACATCTGATTTTGCCCTAATTGGGCAAAGGTTAACCTCTTACAATTTTTGGTTTTTCATACAAATCTGATTTTCCCCAATTTTGCTAAAATGCAAGGTCAACACCTTACAATCTGACATTTTTCATAAACGCCCGATTTTGCCCTATTTTGCTAAAAAAAATGCAAGGTTCACCCCTTACAATTTGAGATTTTTCATAAACATTTAATTTGCCCAATTTTGCTAAAAAAGCAAGGTTAACACCTTACAATTTGAAATTTTTCATTCACATCTTATATTGCCAAATATCACTAAAAAAGCAAGGTTAACCCCTTACAATCTAAAATTTTCCAGAAAGATCTGATTTTGCCCAATTTCGCTAAAAATACAAGGTTCACCCCTTACAATTTGAGATTTTTCATATAAATCTGATATTGCCCAGTCATGCTAAAAATGCCAAGTTCACCCCTAACAATCTGCAATTTTCAAGAAACATCTGATTTTTCCCAATTTCGCTTAAAAAAGCAAGGTTAACCCCTTTCAAGAATCTGCAATTTTCCAGAAACATCTAATATTGCCCTAATTTGGCGAGGTTATATCCCCTTACAATGTTTGATTTTTCATACAAATCTGATTTTGCCCAAGTTTGTTAAAAATGCAAAGTTAACCCCTTACCATCTGAAATTTTCCATAAACACCCGATTTTGCGCTATTTTGCTAAAAAAATGCAAGGTTAACCACTGACAATTTGAAATTTTTCATAAACATTTAAATTTTCCCAATTTTACTAAAAAAGAAAGGTTAACCCCTTACAATTTGAAAATTTCAGATGTAAGGGGGTTAACCTTGCTTTTTTAGTGCCCTAATTTGGCAAAAGTTAACCCCCTTACAATTTTTAATTTTTCATACAAATCTGATTTTTCCCAATTTTGCTAAAAAAGCAAGGTTAACCCCCTTACATCTGAAATTTTTCAGAAACATCTGATTTTGCCCAATTTTGCTAAAAATGCAAGGTTCACCCCTTACAATTGGAGATTTTTTATAAAAATCTGATTTTGCCCAGTTTTGCTAAGAATGCAAGGTTAACCCCTTTCAATCTGCAATTTTCCAGAAACATCTGATTTTGCCCTAATTGGGCAAAGGTTAGCCTCTTACCATTTTTGATTTTTTATACAAATCTGATTTTTCTCAATTTTGCTAAAAATGCAAGGTCAACCCCTTACAATCTGACATTTTTCATAAACACCCGATTTTGCCCTATTTTGCTAAACAATGCAAGGTTCACCCCTTACAATTGGAGATTTTTCATCAACATTTAAATTTGCCCAATTTTGCTAAAAAAGCAAGGTTAATTAACCCCTTACAATTTGAAATTTTTCGTTCACATCTTATTTTGCCAAATATCACTAAAAAGCAAGGTTAACCCCTTACAATCTGCAATTTTCAAGAAACATCTGATTTTTTCCAATTTCCCTTTAAAAAGCAAGGTTAACCCCTTTTAATCTGCAATTTTCCAGAAACATCTGATTTTGCCCTTATTTGGCAAGGTTAACCCCTTACAATGTTTGATTTTTCATACAAATCTGATTTTGCTCAATTTTGCTAAAAATTCAAAGTTAACCCCTTACCATCTGAAATATTCCATAAACACCTGATTTTGCCCTATTTGGCTAAAAAAATGCAAGGTTAACCACTGACAATTTGAAATTTTTCATAAACATTTAAATTTTCCCAATTTTACTAAAAAAGAAAGGTTAACCCCTTACAATTTGAAATTTTTCATACACATCTTATTTTGCCAAATTTTACTACAAAAGCAAGGTTAACCCCTTACAATCTGAAATGTTTCATAAACATCCAAATTTTACTAAAAATGCAAGGTTAACCCCTTACAATCTGAAATGTTTCATAAACATCCAAATTTTACTAAAAATGCAAGGTTAACCCCTTACAAGCTGCAATTTTCCAGAAACATCTGATTTTTCCCAATTTTGCTAAAATGTAAGATTAACCCCTTGCAAACTGTTAAATCAATACATGAAGTGTCCCATTTGACTTTTTTAAAACAAATTATTTTTCCTGTTTTGAGGGTAAAGGAATTTTCTCTTTTTCCTTTCTCTTTTGTTGTTGCTATATTTTGCGAATTAACTCATTCGTATGGAATGCTCATAGTCAATCAAAGAATATTTCACACATAGGGGCCTAAATTATATTTTTTAAAAATTAAATAGAGACGCATTGATCGTGCTATCATATACCATTCTATTACTATTGCGAATTACTGTATTGTTTGGAATGCTCGCAATTAAAGACACGTTATTTGAAAGATGTATAAATAATATTTATATTACAATGTACATCTTTATTCTTTCCCGGTATAATTTATGGCGTATCTTACGTCAATTGGCAATCGCGTCATTATAAAATGATAGTCAAATTGATCAAACGAAACTCCGTTTTGATTATAGTCAATTATGAAATATTCATTGATTTACGACATACACCTTTGTTTCAATTTTGATACTACCCGTAGACGTGCCGAGCAGCTGTAGATATCAAACTAAACCAAAGTATAAAAGATAGAGGGTAAAAAAAATCAAAAAGTTATGTGCTAGTCAAGCTTTCAGGGATCGGTCTGAGCCATAACAATGCCCCAGCCGATCCCTTAGTTCTCTTCCGGGGTCTCGGCGTCCCCGACCAATACACACTTCCTTCCCTATCCATCCATATAACCCCGGAGGGCCAGGCACCATGTAAAAGCAAAGAGCTAAGGGAGGAACAGGGCGGCCCCTAAGCCCTGATCCTCCGAGTGGACCACATGCCCTGAACCTGTACGAAGGCGCCAACCTGGAACTCGCGGACAGTACCAGCAGCAGTGCTTACCAATTAAGCTAAGGTAGGCCTACTGTTGGTACTTTACGACGGGAAATAAAACATGTTATAAAGACAGAATGCGTGGTTTGAAAACCAAAAGACATCGACGGGATTCGAACCCGGGCTCCGCGATTTGTGAACGACGAATCTAACCACTAGGCCATTTGGCTTCCTTAGAATTCTGTCAAAACTATTTGTCCTAATAGGCAGAGAAACGTGGCACATTGCTGTGTGCATCTGTTTTGGCTCCATGGACGAAAATAAGTCGACAGTTTCGGGCAATAATGAGCAAACTGTTGTCATTTGTTTGGAAAATTACATACGGTTACCGAGTTAATCGTAGGCGTATACGTTTGCTAAACATACTCATCGTTACGGAACAATCGGAACACCATTATAGGCTAATTTTTTTTTTAAAAGGAATCAGGTGCATTCAGGAGCGGATCCAGGAATTTTTGCGGGGGGGGGGGGTTTAGGCCCGTCAGATGTTTGTATCCGATTCATGCAGACAGGCGGACCGTGTTATTGTTATAATAATTATAAATATATTATTAGTGAAAACCGTGGGAGTCAGCTGATGTGGGTGACTGTTTTATGTTCCGACACCCCTATGTTCCGACATCCCGCACATTAGATTGTGTTACTCCCGGTAGGGTTAGGGATAGGAATATATAGTATGTGCAGTCGAAACATAGGGGTGTCGGATCATAGGTGTGTCGGATCATAGGTGTGTCGAAACATAGACCTGTAACCCTGATGTGTTGTCCAATCTTAATGGGTAGCTTACTACCTGTAGTGGATCCCTGACATGCGTGCATAAAAACGCTTTCAAATTTAGCTCAAGAGCAAAGATCAGGGTCAATATACCTCGAGCAATAGAGTCTTAAAGTAGGATTTAAAGTAATGTCACAGAACAACTAGCTTGCTAGCAGAACTCCACAAAAGCCTTATTGAATATGTGAACAGGTCAGGAAAAACACCTAAAATGTATACAGTTAACGTGATGAAAGGTTCCACAGAACCGTACTCCTTTGAAAATAACTCCTTTGAAACATGAAATTCGATGCGGCTGGCACATTCATAGGAATGGTATATTGTGGGACGTTTGTGTTGGTATAACTCTCTGATCAAGTGATCAAGTGATGACCAAAGTTATAATAAAATACTTTTTTAATCTGTAGTAAGCTAATTTTCACTTTGAAATAGTTTGTGCAATTTCTTCTTACATTTATGTATATATTAATTAAGGGAATGCCAGTATTTTGGGGAATTGTGAATTCCCCCCCCCCCAAAAAAAAGAACCTACAAACCACCACCCCCTCCCGCCCCCCCCCAAAAAAAACCCCACACATTTTAAAGTGTAATCAGGAACACTTCAAAAATGAAATCAGCAATCGGACGCAAAAAGACCCACAGCATCTCATTTGTTTTGAATTAAAATCATGTTTTTTTTTAATATCTTCTGTTCTAACTTTATTTTTCATTTAAACAATAGAAACTTTAAAATTACACAAAGTTGTACACAAAGTATTAAATACAAAACACACTACATGAACTTTCAAACAGTTATTAAATTGTAAGACAACTTTTGTTTAAATATAAATAAAGTGGAAATGGCAGTTGTTGGGAATACTTATGAGTTTTGATGTGTGGAAATTTCTGTTCAATAAATTCAACATACATGTAAACCTTTTTCACTGTTTTTGGATTGGGCGATCACATTTCTGACAACAATTTTGAGAACTTGTAACATTTAATAATGCCCAGGACAAGACCCTGTGAATAGAAGATTATTTGTATTCAAACTGTTTGGAACAAAAGGTAGACTATATCATACAATTATAACTAAGGTACTGTACTTGCATCTCACTTCATAACCAATCTTAAATTATGCATGTTTCTAACCGCTTTCCCAAAGGTTTTTTTTTTTACATCTTGGTTTCCTAGAAATCAACCTAAATGTACACAAATGTAGACAGCAACGAAAAATCAAGTTAAAAAAACGAACTCGTGCTCAAGACCTAATCAGTTGAAAACATTTTTAAAAACCAAACAAATATATTTCACAAGCTTGGAACTTCAACTTTATACCACATATATGTACATGTACACAGACTCAGTTTTGTCTTTGCTTGGAGAATTGGCATCAAAAACAATGTATTGGTCTTTTTGTTCCACCTTGAAACGTATTGCAAAATGCTCAACAAGACGGGCAACTTCAGTACAAAAATACAAAATAAAGCACTTATACCAAAACGCTTGTAAAACTCAACTTTGGATATGAATACTTACCTTAAGGGACTGAACTATTAAATTATGTGGGAGAGTACATGTACACACCTTATTTCATCAGGTCTGACATAAAGAAAATGCTGAAATTTAAATGCTTAGCAGATTAACTTACAGGTTGATTTACAAAAATTTACTAAAAAAATGTATTTCTTGACGGACCTTTAAGCCTATTTTGTTTTTCTAGTAAAATATCACCTGATGAAGTAATCAATTTAGAAGAATATGTACAAATGTATACTTGTTTTCAGTCCATCAGTTATGGCCGATGATCGGGCAATGAATATCAACCAGGAATTTTAAACTTATACATGACCTATTGATGATGCATTTTTAATAGAAGCTGTATTGACATATAACAACTCTTCACAGAAAGACGATCTATAACGGAACAAATTGCATTGTCTTGAACACTGTCTTGTCAGTACTTAAGTGCCTAAACGAAGGAGTACAATGTTTTAGCCTAATGCAGCACCAGGGTCACTTCTGGGAAGATTTATGCTGGACGGAGCACTGAAAGGTCCAGGATGACCATTAGCATCCACGGCACAGACAGCAAAATGATAGATGCTGCCTGGCTGGAACATGGTCAGCGTGCACGCCATCGGCAGCGGTAGGGCCCGAACCTCTCCAATCTTCTTCCACAAGTTCGTGCTGGGTGGAGCTTCCGATTCCTGGTAGGCATAGAGGTGGTAGACCTCAATCGTTGGCGCTGCAGCATCCAAGGTCATGTTCCAGGACAGCACGATGCCATTTTCCACCTTGGTGATGTTGAGTTCGGGCTTCGGGGGTGAGCTGGAGGTAGGAGGAGGTAGTGGTGGCAGCGGCGCCGGGTGACTTGGCTTGGTGGCAGAAGCGGGATTCACGTTCAGGGAAGCAGTGGCGGGTGCGATGGCAAGCAGCTGCTCGTACCTCTGCTTGTATTGCTGCTGCGTGCTGATCTGCTTGCTAATTTCGTCTTTGATCCGCTTCCTGTTATTCTGTGAATAAATGCAGCAGTCCATTTATTACTTCTCTAAAATGTCAAAGAACGGCACATGTCATTACAACTGATCAGTACATTATTTACAAGATCCTTTATGTGAACTACTACATTACCTATAAGCATACACCTGAAAGAACAGATGGTCAAGTGGCGTACTTAAGTGGACAAACACAATGGTCTGGGAAATTGTTGCACACAAAAACACAGATGAGTCTGTTTACCAAATCCCTCCCAGCTCATCCAAAATGCACCAGGCTCTGGAGGACTTTTAAGATTTGAGGCCGTGGAAAACATAACAATATGCCATTGGTTTCCTGCTCGATGAATGAGTTCTGGTAATTCCAGAGGGTTCTTAGCAAAGACGCCTGGAGGTTTAAGGCATAAATTTCCCTCTACAATGCTAATAACCGAAAACGTTACAAATTAAAAGAATGAGGGACAAGTAGCCACATTACAAGTTCAAAATTTTGACACCAAAATAATCAACACCTCCTAGCTCAATCAGGTTTTTTCTTAAATTCTGTCCCTGATATATGCTCCATTTGGGAATACTGCCCATTCCCTGGTAAAGAGTGGACTTGAAAGAACTCATTCATGAATAAAAAAAATGGGATATGTTGCCCAGTGGTCCAAGGAGAAATAATTCTCAATTTAAACAGGTGGTGATCTCAGTGCTTGTGAAGTTTTAAGTCCCTCACCTCATTGTTGCGTTGCTGCATCTCAAGTTCCCTCATGCGGTAAGGCATACTGACATCCTTGGTCTGTGCCTTGGCCTGCAGAGTCATGTTTTCTTTTTCCAGAATGCTGTATTGTTTCTATTGGTGGAAAAATATTGTGGGTTGTTAATCAGCCTTAAAGGCATGTAGGATCACTTGCATTTATCCTAAAAGTAACCAACCAAGTTATTATCCCAAAAGCTTTTATGCTGGGATTGAGGTTGCACTGGTACTAAACATCCCATGAATGATTCCATATGGCTTGCTATTTTCTTATGGGACGGACTCAGAAATGTAGGTGATTTCCAACGATCAGTCAAATAACGAGTGCTAAGGACGAAATCGTGTTTCTTATCAAAATGTTCCTAGGTTTTTACACTGTTTTCTCCAAAAGTGTAATACCCACTGAGCTGAAACTTCAACAGGTTAGGCTTTGAACACTCCTCTTTGGATTTTGAATGGTGTTATTATTGGAAATGAACAAAATACATGAAAAGCAAATGATCCTATATGCCTTTAACTTTGATCATTGAGGGCACGGCATATGTGGGAGAAGTTGCGTTTCATCATCACATAAATCTGAATAGATTTGCCATATTGATACTTGTGAAAGCTTGACATGGCAGCCAGATTTTACAATTCTCGGCAGAAAAAGACTTTTAACCCTCCTCAATCCTCCAGGCAGTTTTGGAGGATTTTGAAGGATTGAGGCTGAATGGCAAAAAGTGTTGATTGATCTTGGAGGACGCATTGTAAGTGTGTCAAGTTCATAGGCTGTTCTGTACCCTGCATTGTTTATGTTCAGCCATGCATAACTGAACCTAGTCTGAGTATCACCCGGTATCCACGGAGCCATCTCCGGTCTAACGTCTGATATGCCAAAGCATGCAGATTTATGCAAGCCGCGCACCAGCCAATCGGAGTCAACTTTACTAAATCGTGACGTCATTTCATCCCAAAATCTGGACTAACGCTGTGATTGGTCAATTCGAATGCAGCGTTTTGTAATACTACAACAGCCGGGAGCGCATTCGCGTAACATGATACCGAGCGCCGCGCACCGTGACATTTTTTTAAAAATCCATGTCTATGACGCGCAACGGGTGAATGACCGAAGACCCGGTAGACCTATAGAAAGCGCCTGCTGATTGGTCAAAATCTAGGAAGTCAAGAGGCGGGGTCTTGCCTAATTAATCAGCAAATCTGTTTGCGCATAATAGACCACGGTTACATAGACTAAACTGAACCCTGCATTATGCTCGAAATTATATTTGAATTCATGATATGAAATCATCTGCACTGCTTCTGAATATCATCAGCACTGCCTCACCCCATTAACAGTGTTTGTTGGAGGATTTTGAAAGATTGAGGCAATGGTTACTCCTTCACTGAACAAATTCATGGGTGATTTTGGACGATTGAGGCTGAATCCAATTTTCACATGGTGTCAATTGGAGGATTTTGCAGTATTGGGGTAAGGGTTTAAGCTACCACAGCGCCATCCCATGGTCAAAGCAAAAGTGGCAATAGATGACCATTTCACGAGACAAAATTCTTGAAATACCAAGTAGACAGAAAAGAATGAAAGCAGGTAACTGTCACTGACAGAGTTTTTTTTTTTTTTTTGTAAAAAAAAACCAACAACTCACCTTGAGATCAATAATGGTGCTCTGTACTTTCTGGGCATTCTGCTGAATTATAGCTTTCTGCTTCTGGATTTGACTGGCCTGCAGTTTTTGATTTTGCTTTTAATAATAAAAAGAAATTCCACTCGTCACACAAACTAGAGTTTCAGCTCCAATGTCTGGGAATGTAAAACTTTTTTGAAGATAAACTTGGTCAAAATGTATTGCAGACCATCTAAAATAGCACTGAGATCATTGCATCACTGAAGATGTCACTGATTGTTAAATGAGAGAATCTAGTGCATCGAGGTAATAATGACCCTTGCACAGCACATTGGGACATTGTGTTAAATGCGCCTTGTAAGCACGGTTTATTATTAATATTATTATTACTTCATGTGAACACTTAAAAGACATCAAACTGCAAACCACGGCAAAGACTTCTTCAATTTAAATTGGTTGTAGTTCACATTTACTAAAAATCATCTGACATGCTAGTTTTTAGGGTTTAATAGTTGTATGGCATCCAACTTTAGGTACCTGCATTTGTTCTTGAGTTGCCATGTTAGCTTGCTGCTGTTGCTGTCGCTGCAATTGCATTTGCTGTTGCACCGTCACATTCTGCCGCTGCTCCTCAACTGCCCTTCTTTTCTGTTGCTGTTGTATTCTCTGCTGCTGTAGCTGCTGCTGGATTTGCTGTTGCTGTTGCTGTTGCTGCTGCTGCTGAATGTGCTGTTGTGCTTGCTGATGTTGTTGCTGCAGCAGGAGTTTCTGATGTTGCTGTTTAAGTTCCTGGGCTTGCTGTTGTTGTTGGAGCTGTTGCTGTTGGAGTTTTTGGGCTTGCTGTTGCTGCTGCTGTTGTTGCTGTTGTTGCAGCTGTTGAGCATGCTGTTGCAGCTGGTGGGCTTGCTGAAGCTGCTGTTGCTGTTTTTGAGCCTGTTGAAGTTGCTGCTGCTGCTGCTGTATAGTTGCAAGCTGAATGGCTGTAATGGCGCTTTGAGGAATCCTCTCACTCTACATGTAAATGTGTAAATGTTCAACAAAAATTTGTTACACACCATGTAATTGTTTTTTAAGAATTTTCCACAAGTTAGGAGAAGCGATTGTTGTACAAAGCAAGCTTGTTTCATCACATCAATATATATTCACTTCAAAAGATAGATGTACATGTACTTTCAACCTATGATAAATCAATATCAATCTGCTCAATCGGTTCTCTGGATATTCTTAATGGCTACCATGCACTTTTAAGGGGGGAGATGTTATGTTTAAACTTCAATGAAAGTGAACTACACACCTGAGGCTGTGGCACTCTCTCGGCAGGCAACCCAGCCTGGGCGGCTGTTGGGAAGTACACGTTGCTAATCGGGACAGCCATCCTCTGCATCATACCAGGATTAATCCCCAGAATCTGCTGCTGTGAAATAGCAACTTGTTGCACACCAGGTACACTACTTATCGGTGACTGTCCTGTTGATGTGACATTGGAACTCACAAATGTCTGTATGCCAGAGAGCAGGGCTTGGTTGTTGAACTGTGTCTTGGTGTTGGGTGTGACGAGTGACGCTGTTTTCAAGGCTGGGGATGCGGAAGCCTGTGAGAAGCTTACCTGCAGGCCAGAGGCTACAGGTTGCATGGCAGGAACTGGAGGGATTCTGGTCATAGGGGGTCTCTGGTTGGGGTATGAGAGGGCGGTTTGTGGTGGTCCAATTGTTACATTCGGGCATTTCTGGGGTGATGAAACTGCTACAAGCGGAGGAATTCCTGGTGGCTTTGGTTGTTGCTGCTGCTGCAGTTTCTGCTGCTGTGGCACAGGTGCCTGAGTCCGTGGTCTCCCCAGCAGTGCAGTAGGTCTGACCTGCGATTGACTTGTAGGTGGTGGTTGTTGTATAGTTGGTCTCTTCGGTGTCAATCCCTGGGTATTATTTGGTGCAGCATTTTGTGGTCTCGGTGCCTGCCCTTGGCCTGAATATGGTGGTGGCATCTTAGCCTGAGAAGGACCCACAGCAAGGTTAGCACTCCCTGAAGGCTGTTTTGGAGGTGGGCCCCTCTTTTCAGAAATGTTGGGTTCTTCAGAATCATCCGTCAGATCTATGCACTCAGGCTCTTGGGCAGGTTTGGTAGGCGGAGTATTGGTAGCGCTCTGCGCCTTCTGGGGCTGCACTGCTGGGAGCTGTTTAGCCGGCATTGGTGGTTTCTGAGAGGTTTGCTTTGGTGGGGTTGGGGCTTTGCCTCTTGGGGAAGCAGCACGGGGTGATGGAGCCAGACGCGGTGATGAGGGGGTTGGGGTTGGGGCTTTGGAAGGTGGAGTCAGTGCCTGGGGCGATGAGGAATGAGGTAAAGGGGTAAGAGGTGACTGGGATGTTTTCCCTCGAGGCAATGAACCCTGCTGCCTCACAGCAACTACCTGTACAGAATTGTTTGTTTCTTGGAGTTCAGGTGTGGAGACTTTCTTTGGGGTCACACTGGCAACATGCCCTACTGCTGCTGTTGTTGCTGGTTGCGCTGCACGCTTGGGTGCCATGACATTTGGTTGCGATTCCTTAGGAGCTGTGACTGCGACACTTGTTTTTGCTTGAGCCACCGAAGGGGCAGGTGCTTTTGTTGCAGGTGGACATGCATCACTTGTAGCAAGCTTTGGTGTTGCAGGAACAATTGCCTTCTCTATAGATGTGCCAGCAGTGCTCGTTGTGGACTGCACTACTGCAGGCGCAGGTGCTGTTGTGCTTTGGGGAGGTGCAGAGGTGATAGGTGTCTCCTGGGATGCCAACTTGTTAATTATTGTAGGCGGGGTAGCTCTTTGAACTGTATTTGATGGTGCATTTCCGGGTGCACTTGCTGGTAGATTTTTCGGTGCAATCTCAGTGACAGAAGCAGTCGTTTCCTGAAAAGTAAGAAAGCAACATGAACATTTCCAAGACACGTGGAATCCATTTAACAATGGCATGCCCATCCACTGACTCCAGCCGAATTCTACGTAAACGCCACAGGTCAATCTTTGCCAATTCTGAGTTTAATACTCCAAACATTATTTTTCTCTTACTCTAAGTGTCAAAATTATTTTTCAGAACAGACATGCCCAAAAACTTTGAGCAAAGGTTTGATATCCTGACACATGGTAACTTTTATTGCCTTAATTACCTTGCTGGTAGCCTGCACTGGATTGCAAACCACTATCTTTGCTGAAAGCTCGACAACCTCTGGCGAAGCACTCTGCCTCCTAGTAGCTGGAACCTTATCAACAGAAGCTGCCAGTTGATCACCTTCCGGAAGTTTGTCTTTCGAGACTACCTGACTTCTAGAGACTTCATCCACAGATCTCAGGCAGTTAGAATTTGGAAGGTCTGCTTTGTCAGAGGCTGCCTTTGGAGATTCCTCTACTTTTTCCGGTTGTGTTTCCGGTGTGACTTCCATAGAATCCACAACGTCAGCGTCTACTGATTTCTGAGTAATGTCCTTTTTATCGTATTGGGTTTCTGTAGAAATGTTTTCCTTGATAATGCCCTGACAGAAAGAAAAATAACTTTGTCAGTGCAAGTGCAGTATGGCTTAAATCCAAAGGATAGATTGTGTGCAAAAACATCATGGGGTCATTCCGTGTCAAATGACCCCATGGGTTAAACCCCACCCCCTTCAAATTTGCTCATATTTAGTGTTTTCATTAGTGTACAAGTGGAGTTAAAGTAGACATTTCTTTGTTCCTGCAGTGTACTATAAATGGATTTAAACAGGGGCGTCAGTGACCACTGATAAAAATAGCTGAAAACAGCTGAAAAAAGCCAAGTTTTGGAAATCTCCTATACTTTTGTACACAGCAAGTGGGGGAAAAAGCTGGAAAACTCACTGAAATCCAATACACAAAAAAGCTGAAAGCAGCTTTAAAGCTGAAAATTCACACCCCTGTTTAAAGCAAGATTTGTTTCCCCCAAGAAATGTGTGAATGTAATAGGGATATCACATTTTGCAACATTTTTGCCAATTTGAGATGAGCTAGAAACCAAACAAAAAATATTATACCCCTAATTTGTTGATATTTGGTAGAAAAAATGTTGGGGTATAATTTTCATCAAAGTTCGTCTCAAGGTCCAAGATCAAACAGGTCAAATTCAAATTCAAAGTAAAAAGGTCAAACGGTCTTCATACTTCATATTACTCCGAGATGAATTTGGATTTCTTCTGATGCAACCTTTTTAAGAAACCAACATCGCCAAATTTGGCTCACAGGTTATGAAGAAATGGTCATTTGAAAGTTGGCAGCCACACCCGTTTTTACTGATACTGCGGATAATGAAAAAAAAACATTTGTCCGATGGCGCTAAAACAGAAAATTCAGCTAATTAAGTGTAAATTATCCCATACTATAAAAATGAACCATTTGGCATTTGTAAGGTCTGCTTTGTCAGAGGCTGCCTTTTGGAGATTCCTCTACCTTTTCCGGTTGTGCTTCCTGAGTGACTTCCATAGAATCCACAGCGTCAGCGTCTACTGATTTCTGAGTAATGTCCTGGTTATCGTATTGGGTTTCTGTAGAAATGCTTTCCTTGATAATGCCCTGAAAGAGAGAAAACAACTTTGCCAGTGACGGTGCATTATGGCTTGAATCCAAAAAGTAGATTGTGTGCAACAATATCATAGGGTCATTCTGTGTCAAATCACACAATGGGTTGAATCCAACCCTCTTCAAATGTGCTCCAACTTAGTGTATGGGGAAATTGTAATTAAAAAATGCTGAAATTAAGTTTAAGCGCAATGGGACAAACAGTTTTCGTACACCACCCGCCATTGTTTTACACTGGTCAAAATGGGCTTGGCCCCAATTTTCAAATGACCACATCTCCATAACCCGTTTGCCAAATGTGTTCATCTTGGTTTCTTTGGAAAGGTTACATCATAAGAAATCTGAATTTACCATTATTTTTCACGTTGGAGTAATTTGAAGCATGATGACCTTTCGACCATTACTTTGAACTTGAATTTGACTTTGTGGATCATGAGACCCGAGACGAACTTTGACGATAATCATACCCCCAAAAATATTATAACCCCAATGTTTGATTATTTTGTAGAAAACATGGTGGGGTTTAATTTGGATAGCAACAAGATAAAATTCAAGGTCGAAGTAACGGTGTAAAGGTCAAAAGGTCATCATACTTTGAAATAACTCCGACATGAAAAATAATGGTTAATTTGGATTTTTTTATTATGTAACCTTTCCAAAGAAACCAAATTAACATGTTTGGCCAACCGGTTATGGAGATACACGGCCACACCCATTTTGACCAACATTGCCAAACAATGGCAGGAGGTAGGACAATTTTTTTGTGTCCAATGGCGCTTAAACTTAAAATTTCAGCTTTTTCATTTGAAATTACCCCATAAAAAAAAAATATGAACCAATTTGAAGGGGGGGGGGGGTTTAAACTTTCAATTTTTGTGTGTGATTTGACACAGAATGAACCCATACTTGGTGTATGTAACAGTCCTGAAGAAAACTGTTACCAATTGTTGCATCTAAAAGCACAACCATTCATTGTTCTAAGGTATAACACAATTGAGATACATTCTGTTAAATAATCAAGTAGTTTCTGTATGCTGCAAAGCATCCTACCAGGTACTAACTAATGGACTGCTCAAAACTGTCCCATTACTTTATGATTTTATAAATTCAATAAACAATGTAATACAGTGTAAAACAACGCATATGGGTGAACCAATTTGTATATTGACACTATCATTTGCATACACCGAGTCTTTCCATATCCGGAGGGTAAGCAAACAGGCATGTTTACCTTGTCCTGTAGTTTCTTCTCTGCAGTCTCCAATTGCTCCTGTACCTCAGACATCTTCGTCTCAAGGTTTTCCTTTTCCCCCTTAGTCTTGTTTAACTGTCCCTGCACGGCCTTCAGCTGAGCCTGCAGCTCCAAGGCTCGTTCCTTCCAGGCCCGCTCACCTTTGTTGGCCACCTCAAGCTGCCTGTGCAACAGTTCCAACTTGGAATGCAGGGCCACCTGGGAATGCTTCTCAATTAAGAGTCTTAAGTCCTGAAAGGGAATTAGTAAAATAGTACTTATTAATCTGCATGCAGACTTGTTTTTTTTTCATATACAACTCGAGAAAACTTCAGAAATATAACCTGACGATGGTTCAACATTGCGTTAAGGGCATTGGAAAAAGAACTTTGAAACATGAACAAGTTACATTCTTGGTTCCTATTTCTGACCCAGATGTGTTGATTATATAAACAGAAAGGGGTCCACAAAATTGTGTTTTTTGGGGTCACTTGGTATAGCTAGGGTAATATCCGAGTCAGTTGTATAATGTATTACATGCAATAAGCCATTTGTGAGATGAATTTGAATACAGTCTGGAACGCTGGCTTAACCCAATGCTTTGCACGTTTTAACTTTGCGTTCTCCAGACCAAAGAGACTGTTACTATATCATGTGATTCGGGGCAAGCCTTATGCTAGCAACCCCCAGCTCCGGCATGGTCCGGTGTCTTTGTGCCATTCTCACCCATTGTGAACAATGTATTGGTGCTGAGCGTCTCTTACATATCTATGCAAGAGATTGCCCCGCAACAGTGGCTGTGGTCTGGAGAATTCAAAGTTAAAATGTGCCAAGCATTCTGAGCAAGTCAGTGTACCAGATGTTTTTCAAATTTAAATCTCAAAGGGTATAGGTCGCAAATGGCTTATTGGTTGGTGTGAAAATTACATTGCCTTTTCCCCTGTCCAAATACTTCATACAAAAAACCTCTTGGACCCGATAATTGGTTCATATTGTCTCAGGTACGTAATGTGATTCCATGCACTCAATGTGCAGGAATATTGAAGACAAGGGCTTCCGAATTCCTTTATGTGAAATCTGGACACCAATTTGACATTAAATAGATTATATATAGATGCGGTTTCACCCATTTGTCAAAATAAATCACCTTTATGCTGATTTGTTTGGGCTTTTTGTCACGTGGACTTGATTTAGCTGGCCCCTGTGGCGTTGGAACAGGAGACGGCGATGTCGATGAAGGCCTTTTTGTTGGGGCAGACATCTTGCTTTTGGAAGGCTCCGCTTTAATTGAGTGACTCCCACTCACTGAAGATGGCTCTTCTTTTCGTTTAGGTTGCAAGGAACTCTCCTTGGAAGAAGGGGTAGTGGTTTTTGACGATGTCACGGATGCTGGTGGTACAGGGGAAGAGCGGGTTTTAGGCACCGTTGGCTGGTTACCAGCAGAAATATCTTTGGTCAAGGGAACAGGAAGTTCAGCTTGTGGTTGTACAACAGTGTCTGATTTTTCGGTTTTCGTCTCAGATTTAAGATCAGACACTCCAGCTACTTCCATGTTTTGGTCAGGGTTGTTTGCATCAGAATTCTTTTCTTTATCAACCTGGACTTTTGTTGCTTCCGTTGTCCTTTCATCTTTGCAGGTCTCCTCCACATTTGCCTTCAGGTCAGCTGTATAGAGGAATGCGTTTCGTCATTTAAAAAGATTGGATCATGTGACAAACTAGCAGAAGCAAATGATCGACCAGTTTCAATTGAAGGGTACAGAAAATCACTCTTATGGGATCTGTCATCACAATGACTAACAATGGCTTGCCTTAGTGGCATATCACCTCAAAGAGATAAGACTGCTGTTCATGGTTGCTTTCAGATGTAACAAGCTTCCATTAGGTCATTAAAAATATCAATCACTAGAGTATGAAATATATTTTTACCTTTTGAGCTCTCAGCACTGATTGCTACCAGTTTAGGCCGTTTGTTAATGTCTTCTGCTTCCTCAGGCTCTGTGACATCTGAAGAGTTGCTCCTTTGCCGTTTGCCAGTCCTCACAATATTTGGACCAGATTTCTCATCTGTTGGGATTGGATCAACCAAGCTTTCCTTTGGCACACAGGTTTCTGCCTTGGATGCAGCAACATCCAGACTTTTAGAAGCTCCATCTGCAACACTTGCTGAAACGATCTTCTCACTGCTGACCAGATCTGTAATGGAAGCAGGCTCGACTGGTGCAGGATTGGTTGCAGAAGTGGGATTTGCAGATGGAAGCTTATTCGTTGTAACAGCATCTCCTACAGGTGAGGATCTGCTGTCTTCTGAATTACATCCTTCAATAGATTTTCCTTTTTCACTGGCATCTTGCTGAGCAACTTCAGCTGTGACTTTCAACTGTGTGGCAGAGTTCCCACTCGGCTTAGCACAGTCCTGCTCATGATCTTGAGTCGAGTCTGTGTTAGTGTCATCTGTTGGAGGCGACTCCTGAGCAAAGCAAAATACTGACAGTTAATTTTTGTATTTTAGGCAGGTTTTGTCTTTTAGGCAGGTTTCAAGTACGAAACTTCTTTTGGGAATATACCTGAGGTGTTCCTCACAGGAATAGATTGATTCCTTGTTAGCATGTACAGTTTTGTACACGCACAAGCATCTCTTTTTCGTTATTGACAACAGGGATAGTGCAAGGCTATGGCCCATTTAGGGACACTCATATCACTAATCAGAACAGGTACTTATAGAACTAGAACAGTCCAAATTTCCAAGATTTCACTTCCTCACATAGTCAGCATGATGGCATGTAATATGACTGAATGCAACATTCAAATCACAATATGGTATCATGTTTTACTGTATCATTTTATGTTATAACAAACATGTAACAATATGTTAAAAACCTCAAATCAAAATCCTCCATGGTATGATGGGAGATCCATCTGGATAACAAGGGCAACACTTAGGCCAAAAAAAAAAAAAAAGTCGGTCTCTTGTCAGCGCGCGCGTAGATTTAAATCATGCGCGTCAACCTTTTTTTCCCCCAAAATGTTCCGCGGTAGCTCCAACAGCACCCTCTATTGCCGCACCTCCTCATTTTTTTTTTACCAAAGAGCACCAAGGAATGGGAAATTGCACCAAGGCAAATGATCGAGGGCACCAAGGCAAATTATGGAGGACACCAATGTACATGAGGACACCAAAAAAAGCAAAATAGTACCCCACCTTGTCTGTACAATCCAAGCTTGAAAAAAAAGGGGAAAAAAGCAAAAAAAAAAGCAAAAAAAGAAGCCGCGTCGCCGCATCAATTCCGGAACTTTGGCCTGACCAGAAACCGAGTACGGTATTTTTTTTTTTTGGCCTTATCCTCCAAGTATTCAAATAAACTGTATTTGATAAATTAAAAATACTATCTTTTCCAAATTCATACATATAACTTCACTTTACCACTGAGCACGCTACTTTACATTCACAGAAGCCCTATTCAATGGCAAAAGTATTGTGCCAGCTATGGTACAAAGCAACTGCTCCAAGGTGGATTATCAGAATAGCTGGCACAATGCTGCTTGAATGGAATGGTCTATAATTTAGAGGTAATTTCAAAAAAAAAAAAAAATTAAAGGCATCATAGGTACTGCAACAATATTAACAAACAGCAACTGTATGTATAAATTACAGTTGGTGGCAATACAGTAAGGATTAGCAACCATCTTGCAGGAACAAGAACACCAGGAGTGCAAAATTAGTCATGGTATTTTTTACTTACATCGAGACATGTTGGCTTCTCTGACGATTCCTTTGGTCCATCATGCACCCTTCGAAGAGGAGAGGATATTTCCATAGGCTCAATCACATCATCAGATGGTGTAGCTTCTGACATGGGTAGACTTTCATTTAGTACAGAGTTCTCTTTAGTCTTAGCTGCTACATCCACCTTTTTGGATGCGTTAAGATCCATATTGGACGGCTCACCAGTACAATTGTGGGGGTTAGTCCTGTCATCAAGTGACTGTTTAGTACTTGGCAGTGAAAGTTCATCGGCAACATCCATAGGAATAGGTGCATCTGGAGTTTCCTTGGAAGATTGGTCTTGTTGAGTCTCAGTTGATTGGCTTCTCGCGACAGAACTTGGTCCACATTTTTCTAGATCCCGTCCATCAACTGCTTTCACCACTGAATCACTAGATTTTGGAAGGTTGGGCACAGTAATACCACCTTCAATGCTACTTATTCTAATATGGTATGATTCTTCGATAGGTTCTGTTGAACTTTCAGAGATGTTGGACACAGATTTTGAGCTGACAGAATTACTTTCAACAGTCTTCGTTTCAACAGCTGTCTTAGTTAAGGTAGTATTTGGCTCAAAAGGCAATCGTTCAGTCAACATAACTTTGTCTTCAGGTACATCACTGGAATGATTCTTCTCTGCTAAGGCCGAAGAGCCTTCCTTCACAACCTCAAGACTTGGTCCTGATGTTTTAGATGAGTTTAACTTCATAGAAGGTGCCTCCAATTCAATATTGACATCACTCACTTTCGGAGAGGATGGTCTGCTTTTGTTCATTAAAGGGACTTCCTCCTTGGCAACAGAGGAATGTGCTTTTGGGAAAGCCTTGTTGATGATAGATTTCAACTTCTTCATGTTCAGGGAACCCTCACTGACATCCTGTTTTACATGTGGAGATGGAGACCTAGATACTTTAGTAAGGCTACTCTCCTTTGGGGATGGTGATCTTGATGACACGGCCACTTTGCCAAGGCCACTTTTTTCATTGTCTTCAACACTTTGCTTTGCTGACAATACAGGTCTGGCTGGTGAGGAGACACATTCCTTACGAGTGTCATCGTCCAACTGTTCTGTCATCTTTTTGGCATCACTTGTAGACTGGGATTCACTACTTTTTTCGTGAGGAACCCCTGCATGGGAACTCACATCATCTGAGTCACAAGTATTTTTGCTTTTTGTAGCATTAAGCAACGACACTGCTTTCACCCGGTCAGACACTGCTTTTTCAGCTAATGACTTGACAGGATTTTTTACAATGTTGTTGCTTAACCCGCTGCCATTACCAGGAGGAGAGCTATTCTGATCGTCTTTGGATTTTGTAGCAGCAGCTGGCTTCCTGGTACTGACATCTGAGATCCCTCCACTTTCTGTGTGTTCGGTTTCATCTCTTATTGCTGGACTTGAGTCAGATGAGCTCTTACGAGCAGAATTTGATGCTGACTTTGCAGCAGAGTTTCCATGAATTTCAGTGCTTGATGGAATAGCTTTCTCCTTTGACTGAGCAAGGTTTGATGCATTATTGCCTTGGATTTCAGATGCGAGACTTGCTGGAGTTTTGCTGGAATCGGATGAGGACGTCCTAGAGCTGATGCTTGAATCAGGATTAGAAGACAAATTGGCAGCACTCTTCTTTGATGCCTCAGTTGTACTCTGTCTTTTTTCCTTTTCACTCAGTAAGTTAGCTTCGGGCCGAGGGTTGAGTCTCCTGTCTTTTTCTGTAGAAGACTGGACACTCTCCTTATTTTTACATTCACTGTCTTTGTCCAGTTCTTTCTGGTCCAAAGAAGGAACCTCCTTGGGCAATCCATCCAACCAGCTAGGATAACTTGAATTTGGAGGCAAACTCTTTCCAATGCCTCTATTTACATTTGCTGGACTGGAATCTCTTGAGCGTGAAGCTGATGTTGCATTGGCCTTGTCTGCGTTTTTATCAAGGCGGGCAGCAAAGGATGCACCCCTGTTGCTGAGAGAGCCATCTCTCCAGCGTGGGATATGCTCCTGATCCTCACGCCTGTTGTAACCTCCTTTCCTGTAGGCATTTCTCTGGTATGTGGGATCGGGATCAATCTGCTGTAAAGACCGCGAAGCCTGAAAGCTTGCATCTCTCCTGTCATCATACCTTCCAAACCCGTCCCTCGAGTCCCTTCCAAACCCGTCCCTCGAGTCCCGTTTTGCCAGGGGGTCATGTCTCTGATTTCCCTGAGATCTTGACCGCCGATGGTGTTGCTCATTATACCCGGTTGGCTCGTTTTGCCAATAATCTCTGTCTCTGGATCGTGACCTCTCCCTGCCGTTTACAGTTAACTGGCCTCTGTCTCTATCATATTGAGAACTGCCTCGATCTGCATGTGAAGCATAAGTGTCAGAGAGTCTCTGCCTCTTTTCAGGGATTCCTTCCACCTCTCGACTGGAATTCGGGTGATCGGACCTGTTGGGCTGGAAATCTCTCACAAGCTGAGTTGTTGATTTCTTAGCAATCTGCCTTTTGGCAACTGGATATGGCGCTGAATGTCTCTCGTCCCGATACGCAGATGAGATCCCGGTCTTACTCCTTGAATCACCATTAGGTTTTGTGTTCATACTAGACTTTTCTGCAACAGAACAACCAAAACTCTAACATTAATCCTGACCCCAAAAGATTTTTTTTCAGAAACCTTCCTGACTCTGCCGCTATTCAACACTGCAGTGATCCAACAGCAGATTCTTTAAACAAAGTCGGGCAATAAAGCAAGCTGTGTGTAAGCGGGGCGTTGTGTGCCGAGTTTTAAAACCTACAAATTGACGAGGGTAGAATTTCATGTACCTCCTGCATCTCTTCAACATTAGAGAACCTTTTTTGAGCGGGAACAATTTCCAGATTCCTGGTTTCCACAATTCCAATCCGGCATAGACGCTTCATTTCAATGAGATACAAGTCATGTGACGGCTGCAATTTTTACTTTCTTTGTTGCACTTTATGGGTTACTTACTTGGTTTTCTACCTCTAGCTAAAGAATGTCTAACAGTGTAGCTACATGTGCCAGAATGTTTGTAGAGTACGGTCCTGCTCCTGGGAAAAATTAAAACAAAACAAAAACATTAGTGTACACCTCTGTGTAAGTAACAGGTTTCTTCAATACAATTACAAGATGCCACAGTGCTGCAATTAAGCCAAATTCATCACAGGTCCATATTAAGTCTGGGTCACTCTTGACATAGATTGACACTGGCAAAAAATGCCTTGGAATAACCTGTGATTTGATTTCAAACCAGATGACCTGTTGTGGACTTGACTAAAAAAAAAACCCTATGGATTCCTATTAAGGAAGCAGCTCTACAAAAGCCAGAACAAAGAAATGATTATGAGTTATAACGAGAATACATGCAGATGTGAACTCACAAGATACGTGTATGTCATGGATGTTCTACATGTAAAACATATCGACTTGAAGACTAGGTCAGTATACCTTGAGTTATGCCACAAAGCTTGTGCATGTATGCAGTGGGTAAGTGTACCGAGATCTGAAGATCAAATGTGAATTATTTCCTTACCAAAGAGGATTAATCAAGGAGGAATTAGTTGATGTAATTAGGCAGATTAACCCTTAGCACTTGTTTTGTACTACACTGTATAACTCCTTGATGATACCATAAAACCAGAGGGTTCTGGGGCTGTTTGGGGCAGTATAATCAGTAACAAGCAGGGGCGAATTTCACGGCACTGCTATAAGCACAAACATTTGCTCAGCACAAAAGTAGTCTGGCTTATAAAAGCAGGTTACCAGCCAAAACTCAATGTGATTTTCATGCTAAGCAAACAACAGCTGAATACTAATCACGAGCAATATACATGTACATCACATGGAGTTTTGGCTGATAATGTGCTTTTATAAGCCATACTTTTTTTTGTGCTAAGCAAATTTTTGTGCTTAGCAGTGCCGTGAAATTGGCCCCAGGGCACTTTGGGCGGTTCAGAGACTAATTGATTAAAATAATGCACACTGTTTGGCAGATATATTATCTTGTCGACTCCAGTGGGCACATATTTGAGCCAATATCGTCTTCCCAAGTAACAATACAATTAAAAAGTGGCGAGAACATGCAATGAGAAAGTACACGTGTATGTGACAAAAATACACAAATCTTGTGCATCCGATGGAGTTTGTAAAGAAAGTGTGTTATAAAAAAAAATTGATACATGTGCAAGAATAGGGATACTAAACCCCTAATTCACCACAGGAAATATGTAAAAGTGAAGCGCTAAACTTTTACCTTAAAACTTATTTAGTGTAAAGTTTGCTCAACTGTGAGGTATCCAATCTGAGGCATTTTCAATCCATGTAAAAAGAAAGATGCGTAAAGTTAAATATTTCAGTCATTTCTTATACATGGCAAAGCTTATTGGGTTTTGGAATACTGTATGTGTGATCATGAATTAGTCTTGACACCCTTTTCTGATAACTGAGAAATTAAAGTTAAGAGTTTTTTTGAAACATGTAAGCCATGTACTGTAAAACCTGTGTTATGCTTGGATGTGTATGTGAGCGTCACGAAAATACGCGTACAACTGCTGGCTTGCTGTACACTGCATTCCTCATTACAAAAGGAAAGGATGGGAAAACCTCTTCATTTCACAGCTACAGTCCATCATGGGCACCTATCCAAAACGTAACAGACGAAATTCTGGCAAGCTGTCGTTTTGAAGAAAACAATGAAAGGCGGCTATTTCCAACGATGCGTCTAAAGACACATTCTTGGAAATTTCTGTTAGTCGTTAATTTTTAATTCGGCGAAGCACGCGCAAGCATTGACACAATGCACACGCACGCATTGTTGCTATAATCTGTCGGTTAAGTGCGCAGCTGCAATATCGGCTGAATGAGAACGTGTCCCAGACGCTGAATTAGGGCTTAATTCAAAACTCGACTCGCTAACTTTTGATTTGAAATCGAAATCCTACAATATTGTTTTTCTCGGAATATACAGCAGTTACGTACTGAGCTAAAACTTCATCAGGCTAGATTTTGAACTCTTTTAAATTTGCTTGAAACGAAAATAATTGCACAAATTTCAAAGATTTCAAATTATCAAAAGTCACATACTCTGCTACATAACTCTGGATAGAGCATGAACACACGACTGTGCATTAACAATGCTTCATTTTATTTTGTATATGGTCAAACCAAGGCCTAATTTCATGGCGCTGCCTAACAATAGCAGAAAATTTGTGCTGACTATAGCAGAAAATTGTGCAAACCTTAAACCCTATAACCATCTAGGCTCTTTCAGCAATGAGCCATATCTCAATCCTCCAAAATCCTCTAATTGTCACCGTGTACAAATAGAATATACCTTCAATCCTCCAAAATCATAGATTTCTTGAATATGTTCAGTGGAGGTGTGACCACTGCCTCAATCCTTCAAAATCCTCCAACAACCACTGTAATACATTAAGGCAGTGCAGATGATATCCAAGCATTGCGGATGATAGCCGGTATAATGCAGGCCTCAATTACATGTATGTATGGCCAAATTAACGTAAACAACGCAGGGCACAGCCTACGACCTCAATGCAATGCATCCTCCATCCAAAATGAACTGACACTTTTTGCCATTAAGTCTTGATCCTCCAAAATCCTCCAAAATCCTCCAAAATCGTCCAAAATCCTCCAAAATCGTCCAAAATCCTCCAAAACCGTCTGTTTGATTTTGGAGGGTTAAGCACTATTTCATGGCGTGAATCGATCTGCTAAAAGTTGTGAGCACATGGGGATTTCTATTATGTCATTAATTTTAAGCAACATTTTCCTCGCGGCAAATAACCATGCATTTTACAAGTGTGCTTAATGCTTACAGTGTGCTTACAAGTGTGCTTAATGCTTACAGTGAGCTTGTCTTACATACGCAGTGTGGACTTCCGAACAAAAGACGTCCACATAATGTAGGTAGCAGCGACGAAGTGTGGACTTGCCCACGTCCACACAGTGTTTCCCCATTTCTGGAAAACAGGTTTAGAGGGATTTTTGGGTTAGGTTTATCTGTAGCAGAATGAAGAGAAACACTAAAGGGAATCATTGAAAAAAAATTGGGTTGTAAGAGTTTTCACAGTTTGAGAAAAATGAGTTTTTCCACTGGTGTTCCTTAACTACACGAAAAGAAAGGAAAGTCCACACTAGGTATGTGAAACAAGTCTGGGTGTGTTGACAAGTGTGCTTAATGCTTACAGTGTGTTGACAAGCGTGCTTAATGCTTACAGTGTGCTTACAAGTGTACTTTAATAATGCTTACAGTGTGCTTACAACTGTGCTTAATGCTTACAGTGTGCTTACCGGTACAAGTGTGCTTAATGCTTACAGTGTGCTTACAAGTGTGCTTACAAGTGTGCTTACAAGTGTACTTTAATAATGCTTACAGTGTGCTTACAAGTGTGCTTAATGCTTACAGTGTGCTTACCGGTACAAGTGTGCTTAATGCTTCCAGTGTGCTTACAAGTGTGCTTAATGCTTACAGCAAAGTTCATCTCCTGACACCATTTTTCTGAAGTTCATTTAATGCAAGCTTGGTCGTTTTAGCACTTAAGCCACTTGCACTGGTAAGCAGAAGGTTGTGGGTTCAAATCCCACCCATGGAGATTGAATTTGTTTTTAAGGAGTACACAGTGCTTTATACAATTCAGTTTTAGTTTTAAAGGCAAAATTGAGATTTTCATGTCCCTGAAGCAGAAGGTTGTGGGTTCAAATCCCACCTGTAGAGTTTGAATTTGTTTTAAAGGAGTACATGTTGACACATACTGAAATGTGTATTCTTGTGGAGACATTTCTTTTGTCTCGTGTAGTAAAGTTTTCGAGTTGGAAAGTGAAGTTCCAAAATGCTCTTATTTTAACCAGAATTAATTTCCTTGGCTAAAATTTGGACTTAAGGTCTCTGGTCAGCGCGCGCGTCGATTTTAATCAAGCGCGGCAATCTTTTTTTTTTCTAAAATGTTCAGCGGTAGCTCCAACAGCGCCCTCTATTTTCACCTCCTCAATTTTTTTTTACCAAAGAGCACCACGGAATGGGAAATTGCACCAAAGCAAATGAACGAGAGCACCAAGGCAAATTATGTAGGACACCAATGTACATCAGGACACCAAAAAAGCAAAATAGTACCCCACCTTGTCTGTACAATCCAAGCTTGAAGAAAAAAAAAAAGCAAAAAAAAAGCTGCGTTGCCGCGTCAATTCCGGAACTTTGGTCTGACCAGAGACCGAATTTTTTTTTTTTGGCCTAATATCCCTTTTCTAAAACTCTTCCATTTGCAACCCACCTTGGAAATTCCTAGTTTTTGAGTAAAATCAATATATCTACTTCGTGAAAATCTTGTGGAGACGTATTCATCTATAGAAATTGTCCTGTGGAGACGTATACAATCTTTTGTTCCCTATTGTACACACGTCTCCAGAGGGCACGGTGTATCAGATCACAGTGCTTTATACAATTTTAGTTTTAAGGGCAAAATTGAGATTTTCATCTCCCTGAAGCAAAGTTTCATCATACAAGAAATGTATCGGGTCAAGCCGAGTTCATGTGCTTGCAATGGACCTTGATCCAACATAGCAAATATGGGGTAGTTAATGTTTATTTTTTAAAGGTCAACTATAAATAAGTAAGTAAATATACTTTTGTGTTTGCTCCGTGGACAAAATATGGAAAACAGTTGTGCACTGTCGTGTACTGTGTCAATAAAACCAGTTAACCCTTACGGTACCTTCCTAAATCATCAAAAGTCCTCTTTGCAAAATGGAGTATTTTGCAGGATTGAGGATACATGGCAAAAATGTGTGGCTGATTTTGGAGGATGCACTGTGTCGAGGTCTTGGGCCGGACCTTGTGTTGTTTATGGTCAGCCGCGCATAAATAGGCCTAGATTATACTTGAAATCCTCCGCTCTGTTCCAGGATGTCACTGGCTCTGCCTCAACATATTGACAGTGATTGCTGGAGGATTTTGCAGGATTGAGGCAGGGGTCACCCCGCCAAGGACCACATTCAAGAAGTAACAAAGGATTTTGCAGGATTCAAGCTGTAAGCAATTTAGACACGAAGGCAGTTGGAGGATTTTGCAGGATTGAGGTTGCATTCTAGCAAAAAGGCCTGAGGGAGTAGGGTATTTCACTAAATGGACAGACTCAACACAGAACTAGTACTACAAATGACATAATTCAAACTATATAAAACTGCTATTTAATGTTGTTGTTTAGAGTGGTTCAAAGGAACCTACTGTTATTATGATTATTTTCATTTTTTTTTGATGGGGGATCGAATCATCACCTGACGAAGGGGTGTTGTTTAAACACGTACACACAGTACTCACAAATGTATACCTGTTATTTACGTCCATTCCTAGCACTATGACAGTTAAGTTTACGTAAACTGGGTGTTGGAAAAGATTGGAATAATATTGTGAAGATAAACTCTGTTAACACCTTAAACTGCATCTGTATCTGCTCAATCACCTTGATTTTAAAGACAAGACCAGCACAGGTTCCTCAGTGTCAAACGGATGTAACTTGATATTGCAGGGGCAAGGCTGTTGCTGCCCCTTCTCCAAAAATCCGTCCCAAGCGTTTTTGTCTGCTCCGATGGATGAATGCTTGTTATTACACACACTTTTGTCCTCTCCCTTCTCTGGCGTTGCCGCTGCCAACAAGTTTTTCTCCTTTTGTAATACTGTGTGTAGAGGCAATGCAAAAATAGGTAAATGACTGCAACAAAACAACTGGTGAGTTCCACTTAAGCATTTTCCACCTAAACTGTATCTGTTGGACGCTACTTGAGCCATACTCAGCTCGAGATGCAGTGACCAATGGTTTTTCCAATGCTTGAAATTTGTTTCTACCATCAAGCCCGATACTGGGCAGCACGAACAGCTTGATCGTGTCTAAAGCCGATGGCCTTAAGGTTGTCTACGCGTGAACCACTATGTCCACGCAGTGTGTCTCGTCCATTGATCTACATTGTATGGGCTCTGTGCGCAAACAAGAGAGGGCGCATTTTCACCGCTTTCGAGAGACCTTTTGGACAGGAACATACTACGTGCGCGTACCAGAGGGCACGCGTAAAGCTCAAAGTACGCACGACTAATTTTGTGCACAAAACCAAAGCGTCTTTGCGTGAGTGTCAGGCATCTCAATGCGTTCTAATATCACTCCAAGTGGTTTCCCCCAACTCTTCCTTTCTTACCGTTGAAGGGGTATTTGTGTGCGGAGCCCATAATGGAGATCAATGGTCCCTTCCACGGGGCTCTCGAAGGTGGTAATTATTAAGCGCCCTCTCCTGTTCGCGCATGGAGCCCATAGCCAAAAATCCTAATAAAGATATATTCTAACCACATGCCAAATTTCATGCTTCTATCATCAAAGGCACAATTCCACCAAATATTTCACATATCTGCAGTAATGTTGTGCAAACCTGACCCGAAACCGAAACTGACCCGAAACCGACTTAGGTTGGTCGGGTCGGTTTTTCCATCATTGCAGTCGGGTCGGGTCGGTTTCGGTTTTGCGTTTGCGATTTCCGTATCATGTCGGGTCGGTTAAGCCATATTGAGAAAAACCTGAAATATACAATCAAAAAACCGAAACAGTTCGGAAATTTGCGGTACAATATTTTTGCAGAGTTACTTTGTCTGGTACGACCAATGTCAACCCATTGCGCGAATGTGCATGTGGTTTGCAGTCTATCACGAACAGTCTATAACGTGTAGACCCACCAGTAGGTAATGTCTTCACTGTTCCGTACGGTATAATTCTTCACTGAGAGACGATCGATTTTCATGCAACGCGGCGTCCCGCGGGTAAGTTCGGGCACAAAAAGTGGACACAGTTGCCTAAAACAGATATTCAAGTTTTTTCCCGGGTTGGTTCCGTCGGGTCGGTTTTTGCTTGAATTTTTGTCCGGTCGGGTCGGATTTGGGGAGTTCAGATCAGTTTTGGTTCAGATTCGGTTTAATATTTCGGGTCGGTTTGGCCTGGTCAACCTGACCCGATGCACAACATTAATCTTCAGTAAAAACGTCATTCTTTGTACTAAAACTTTCAATGGGCATCAAGTCCCATGCACAGTAACAGTGGCTGCACTCTCCATTTTTTTTACTGTGCTCTTCTGCGAAATCCTCCAAAACCATCCAGATGGTGGATTTTGAAATATCTGGGAGTGTAAGGGAAATACATGATACACTTTACATGTAGCCTATGTGGGTATCACACTGCCATTTTTCGTGGGAACATTTTACTTCATCACTCAAGGATGTGACTTTTTTGATATCATTTCCAGAAACACTGAAATTTCTTGGTCACCGTTTTATCTTTATGACACTTTTTCTCCATAATTGAAAAGCTGTTTCCTTCATAATTTTAACAATATATCTTTGCATTTCAATCTCTGAATTGCATATGATGGGATAAAAAAATAAAGCATTCATTATCCCCAACTGACTGGGCCCATATATATTTTCACAAACAGTGAAATGGGATAACTATGCACTTTGTTTTTACCTTTTTTAGTAGTCCCTCGCCTCCTGTGAAATAAAGAAAGAAATAGAAAAATCAATGGGAATAATGAACCTCAATCAATTTTTTACGTTAAATGTAAAAAACATTAAATGGTTTAATCTTAAGCAAGTGTTATCAACAGATCATTTTAAAAGTGGGACAGGGACCGGGCATAGTGGCACTGCTGACTGCGGGCCCTTAGGCCCCCCCCCCCCCCCAAAGTCTCCGGTTTCTGGTATGGAGCTTGCCCCGAAAGTGGTACGGCGACGCGGCTTATTTGTTTTACTTTTTTTCCCTTCAAATCTCGGCCGATTAATGTGCTCGACTAAATTTAGTGCTAAATGTATGGGAGCCCTGAGAGGCCTCATATAGCTTATACTCGGTCATAACCCCATCTAAAAACACGTTAAAATTGTGCAGCAGCAGGATTCCAGTCAAACCAGTGAGTGTGGCGGTTTTGAGACATCATTTTACATTGAAATTTTTTTTCTTCAAATTTTGCCAATGCACATGGCTACGGCGACGCGCATGCATACCAGAACCTGGAGACTTTTTTTTTTGCCTTATTGTAAGCCCAGTGGATTTTCAACAAGTGAAAGGGGGTCGGAGGGAGAGGGAATCCCAACCTTTCATGATCCAACTACAATGAGCATCAATACACCAACTATGTACATGTATACACATGCCGGTACAAAACTATTGTTAAGAGTTGAACCAAAGTGCAACAGGAAGGTTGTAAAGTGTTTCCTTAACATTGTCCGCTTTCACTCCCTAAGTCTGCGTCTGTAATGCTTTCTTTGAGTACACAAAAGATTCAATGATGCATTGAAAAGCAGCGTATATAGTGTACGCACTCGAAAAAAAAAAAAGATTCGGGTGTGAGCATGGTGCAAGTGTTTATTTTAATATAAAAGCCCCATGTTCCCACGGTCAGAATTTGAACCCATGTACCACGGCACACGAGTTGAACACCGTAACCATATTAACCAATTGTAACAATCTTTGCAAAGTTGAATATTGGATTTTGCGCTTCACTGACATATTTTATAAACACTGTATACTCAGTGTTGTCCTGAGTGATTGTCCAAAAAAAAATAATTTGGTGTGACTTGAACCCACGAGTCACATGTTTGCTAGTGTAGAAGTCTTACTACTTGCCACCGAGTTAGCTGGACTCGGCTGGCTAGGTTCGAATCTGATGTAACAGTGGGTGCCGCATCCAAATTATTCATAAAATGGACTTTGCGTTGGGTGATGTAAATCCAATATTTGCAAATTGAGAAAAAAATTCAGATTTAAAGGGTCTGCTTTCAGATTTGCATGTCCCTGAAAAAAATCTTATGCTTGCACTGTTTGCCATTCTGTAAGTGTAAGAGTTTATGCAAGGATCTATGGTTTATGAGACACCCAAACTACAGGGTAATTTGGAAAGTAGTTGTTGTCATCTGATCCTACTCTAATGAGTGGTAATTAACTGGCAGAAATATCACTTGTAAAGTTTAGATTCCGCAGCTCTTTGTTTTCAAATTGCATTTTCTCAAGAAATAAGCAATAAGCATTAAATAGTGGTCCATGCATCCAGCGTTTAAACGAAAGTACATAAAATGGCAACCATAACATGAAACTGAACCTTCATTACTGGACCGAGCCCAGTCTAATGTGGATTTCGCCAACCCCGGATTCCCAGGTTAATATTCATGAGCACCCCACTGAGATAATGGCTTCTCAATCAGTTAACGACCATACATGTAAGTATGTTCGAACAAACGGTGGCAGTGCATGGTTTGTCCTTGATCATACCATGGAGCTTTTTTTTTTATAGCTCCATGATCATACAGTCAGGCTATCCCCAATGTACATGTATGTGCGTCGTTGTCCAGAGCCACCTGCCTCCCATCAGAATTTGAGTGACGAGTGACGAACCAGTTAAGTGCTGGAGAGCTACATCTAAGAAAGCCACATTAGACTGGGCTTGGTCCAGTAATGTTCTGTTGACATTATGAAACCACATACCAAAAAGGCCTTCACTCATAATTGACAATTGTCAACGTTTTTGTCAAAAGTGCTGCTCAGTTTTATGCTCTTCTGCGTACATACATGTACTAATGTACAACATTTCACATAGAAACTACTGCCTTAGACTTTCCGGTTGGCAGATGTTTGTAACACTGGTTTCGTTAACATTCCAGTATACTGCAGGAAATGTACATTATACATACATGTACAGGTCACCTCAAAATAGTGACTGCATGAACATGCACTGCTTGATCTTGCAACCATCCAGCTACATTCAACCACCGAGCCTTGCTCTATGATTCAACACGCATACCAAAAAAATCTGGCACATTGCCAGGAAAATGTCACTTGTGGTTTCACTATCACATGTGGGTGGAGCTACAGAATCACCCCATGCCACAGCAGCTAATCAAAATGCCCCATGGCCATGGGCTGAGCTGCTCATGCACTGACTGCATGCACAGACAGCTTGTTCCATCCACAGGAAATCTGGCACCATCAAATGGGTGATACAGGCCTAGCGTTTGTGGATATAATCATGGAAATATATTGCCTGCTAAAAAATATCTATGTATGGTATTACAGATAATCCCTGGCTTCAAAAAATAGTTACATTGTACGAGGGTAGATCTATCACAATGAGTGGCACAGCTCAGTTTATTTCTTGTACAATAGGCTACCTATTTCTTTGGGACTGAGCTACATGTACATGTATTCCAAGGATTTTTTTTCTCATTGACGTTTACAATGAATAGGCCCTTAACAATGACCCACTCATGACTTTTTGCTTGATGGACATTTTTTTTTTTCCATTTCAAGTACAAATGTTGTTCACAAAAGGGCAGGGTTGTTTGCGTGTGCTCTTTCAAATTGTATGTCTCAAAACGAACCATGGGTCATTACGAAAGTGTACGTGCACAAAACTACATACAGTAAACTCTTGTTAAAAGGCGGTTTACAGTTGGGCGCTCAATGGTCGTGTGACTGAAAAATTGACATGCGATGCAACGTATAGTTTTCGCTGACGCGTCAGCAACTAGTTACTAAAGGACTCTGGTGACGTCACTCGAGTTCCAATATTTGAACTTTGACATGGTACGTGTATGTTTCTATTTGGCAGGCTGATGACAGAATTGAACATAAAAAAAAACACTGTTTCAAAATTTTCAAGTGATATAATTCGAGAGAAAAAAATCTCCACGATGCTGAGGGGCAAAACAGCAGAAATTGACAATAAACATACATGTATTCTATTGTTTATTTACTTCTTTTTGTTTTACAAATGGAACATCAAACAACAACCCCCAAAGCGAGAAATAGGACCATTTTGTTCAGCAGTGGCGATGATTGATCGTCACACTTCAGAGTTGAATTTTTGTGCACCTAGCGTGTCTGATGCGCGAGAAATAGGAACCTTTTGTTCAGCAGTGGCGATGCTTGATCGTCACACTTCAGAATTGAATTTGGCGCACCTAGCGTGTCTGATGCGCGTATGTTTACAACCGTCGCGCAACGGTTTCCAAAACAGGCTTATCTTTATCTCAGGCTAAACTATTCAAAAAAAAGGCATATTATCAAGCAACCATCAGCGTCAGACATTCATCATGGCACAACTGACTATAATTTATAAACAGACTGTAATACAAACTCTGTTAATACATGGGAGTCGACTGCACATTCTTCACTAAAAAAAAACCTTTTTATAACACGTATTTCATTTACAGCCTTATTTTTCATTTTGAAACCTTACTAAAAATAGAGGAGTTTAAAGGGAATATACAACATTTGCAAACATCGAAAAATAAAACTACCAAGTTTTTGCGAAATACCTTAATAGGATGTTGGTAAATGACAGTCTAAAGCATCCTGTAAAATTATGGCACCTGGTATACTGTCATTTTCAAGAAAAGTGGTATTTTTGTATCAATTTCCAACGCTGATCGGCCGATCAGCGTTGGAAATAACTGGCTTTTTTTTCAAATACTGGCCCCAATTGACCATCGCACTTGTTTGCAATCGATTACAAACCTATGAACGGGTACGAGCCAGCTAGACTGGTTCCCTGACCTTACAATTCCCCAATGTATGTAAACTGCTCTGTTTCTTCTTATATGGAGTCAGGGAACCAGACTACAGGAAAATGATCGTTTTTCTTGGTTTTTATAGCATTTTCGAACCCAAAACCTCCAAAAAGTCAGTGTAACTATATTTGCTTTATATTTCCAACCCCCCAATCCCATCCATTTCTGAAAATTACAGCAAAAGCAAATGATGTATATTCCCTTTAAGTTCAGATGTGCTGGTACGGGTTTGATTAATGGAAGTGCATGCATTACCCATGTGCATTAGGCCTACCCAGACCATGGAGCAAGCAAACTGACGCTCCCCCTTAATCTTGATTTTCCATACAGTACTCTTAGGGAAAAAACAGGCCATTTAGAAACTGTTAGTAACCCAAAGAATCGGACTTTAAAGTATGAACTGGCCTTTGCAGATTAGCTCTGGCCCGGTGACCTGGTTTTAAAGTCACTTTTGTCCCTGCTTACCAAAATTCTCCTTTCGTACAACAGTCACACAGGGTCAAAAGTGACATGTACTTTGTACATGTACTTTCATAACAATACCTAGAAAAAACAAAATCTCCATGTATGGGCAGCCCCTGCAGGTACTTTTGCATTCACAAAGACTTGCTGTGATCCAACAATATACTGCCTTTAACCCAATTAACCCTAACTCCTGGGGCTCTTTTACAAAACAGTATCCTGAATCTGCAGAAATCCACCAATTTTGTGACGCAAAAAATGCTGGTATCCTGAGTCCATCAGAATCCCCCAGTGTAATTACTGGAGGTATCCTGAATCCGCCAAAGTCCACCAGCAAAAGTCTCGATGGATTCTGGCGGATTCAGGATACCATGGTGGCATAAAAAAACATACAGCATGTTTTTCCATAGAGTCTGCAAAATCCATCACCTAAATTTCTGGTGGATTTTGACGGATTCAGGATACCG